TCTGTGATTCTGTGACTTCAGTACCTGAAGGGCCTATAGGAAAGCTGGAGAGGGACTTTTCACCAGAGAGGGTAATGATAGGACAAGGGGTAATAATTTTAATCAGAAAGAAGGTAGATTTAGGTTAGAAATTAGTAAGAAATCCTAAGTAGTAAGGGTAAGGTAATTCTAAGGGTAGTAAAGTGCTGGAATATGTTGCCCAGGGATACTGTGGATGCCCCCTCCCTGGAGGTGTTTAAGGCCACGTTAGATGAGGCTTGTGCAGCCTGCTCTAGTGTGAGGTGTCCCTGCTTATGGCAGGGAGGTTGGAACCTGATGATTTTTAATATCCCTTCCAACCTTAACCATTCTATGATTCTATGATTGAAGTAGAGAAGACAAGGGAAATTAATTTAATCCATCCATAAAACTGTTCAGAAAACTGTATTTGCAGTGTTTGAAATCTACGGACAGTGAAAGATTCTGACTCTTGGGCTGATGTTCTGCTTTCCTTAATTCATTTTTTTTTAAATGACTCCTGGTCAGTTACTAACTCATTGACATTTCTCAACTATCTAATTAAAATGTAGGCTATCTTATAATACTTGCAAATGTGACCTTCATTTGTATATTTTTGCTAGCTAGCATGTTTAATCAAATGTCACTAAGAATGCTAACCCATTTTTTTCATGGGAACTTTTAATTACGTTGTTTCAGAGAAAGTGTTCAGTCTTCTAAGCTTATGAGAATGTCTTCATTCTGTGGACTGGATTGTACCACTGTTGCTCCTGTCTTTTTCTGTGCATGCACATCAGTTTCCTTTCAGACTGCTTAATGACACAAAGCTTGGCAATAGTCTCAGAGAGAGAACGAAGAATAGTAGGAAACTGTTGACAAGGTGTGCATTCAGGGCATCTCTTTATGAAGTAGGATTACTACTGAAACACAGTAAAATGTAAATAAATTATGTTTTCCTGATGAAATGAGAGTAACTTTAAATATATATATTAAAAAAAAAAACCAAACCAGCCAAACAACGAATGGAACATAATAAGTAAAAAAGTGAAAGATAGTAGATTTCTAGAGAATTGGTTAATATATTTGATCCTCCTCTGCACACTTCACATAATTTAATGTGACAATCCAAAATAGCCTCTCATGTTCTAAAAAAGCTTTACTCCTGAAAATCTGACCATACAAGGCAGCAAATTTTAGAACATGGAACACATAGGAGAGATACAAAAAAAAAGAAAAATATATTTTTTTTTTCCTTTAAAGTAACAAGGGGAAAATGCTTTGAAGACTTAAAGCATTGACTGAAAGATAGAAAAGAGTATTTCCAGACAGTATTAGCAAGTGAATCAGCATCTTTGGAATATTATAATGTTAGAAATAATTCAAATGTAATGAATTTTTATGAGGAATTATTTTGAATAATATAAAGATGTTTTTGTAATGTTAGTTATTGTTTCTCTTCCTACTGAAGAAACAATCTGTTCTCCATCTTACTTCCACTTCATATTCATAATGCAGCAAATAGATCACTCAATATACAACCAATTATTTCCACTTTGCATCCAACGTATAATATCCACCAGATCAAAAAAAATATACTTTAAAATAGAACATCTTTAGCTACAGAATAATTACAACTGCAGTAACAAAAATAATAAAAGTAATAATATATTCCAATTATGGAAGAACATTCATCCAAAGTAGTTTTAAACTGAGAAAAATGCTTTGAGATTGTAGTCATATTGCTATCAAAACACCTAATATTTTCTCTTTCATGACATGCTAACATAATGTACAGATTACAACTAGTTAGAGTATGTTTCTGCCATAGCATAGGCTTCAAACACATTCAGTAAATGCTTTGCAACTTTTTCAAATTCACTGAAGTAAAGCAACTACAAGCACTTTTCAGATGTAAAAAATGTCTTCTTTGAAAACTCTTGTCATGAACTTATTGAAGAGAGATTTGACTCTAAATAATAACAAAAAGACTTTATAATTTAGCATATTCCATCTCGCTCAATATTTATTACTTCTGTTCTGTGCACTTTTTAAGACCACATGTTCTTGACACTTAGCCAATGTACGGAATTTTCTGGCCTGTTCGCCTAATCAAAAGGAGTTCTAGCCCAATGTTTTCAGAAAAATAACACTTTGAGTGAGCAGTGTAGGTAGCTGAGGGCATCACTATTTTTATGCCACTTAGGAAAGAAAAAGTAGAAATTAGCTGCTCCTGCTTGTCTTGCGATCTTTGATCTGAAGGACCTGTGCTGCTTACTAGGTGTAATTTGTATGCATATATGAAGAAATGCCCTAAGACTCCTAACCAGGTTTTGTTTCTCAGTTTTTAGATATACTTCATTGTCCTACTTCAAGTATTTTTCATGCAGTATTTTCAGCTCAAACATGACATGTATTCCCCATCAGGAAACTATGGAGCGTTACTAATGTGAGATGCATAGATTAACCCACACTGCATGCTTTTAATGGAAATCTTAACTTGTTTTCCCTGTGGCTGATGATCATCAGAGTGAGATGTCAATTCTGAATGTGAAGGGAAAGCCAAGTACCAAAGGTCAATTACTTCAGCAGAAATCAATTAATTAGATGGGTAGAAATCCTTATGTATAGCTTTTCTTCCTACAGCAATATGCATATCAATGTTAGGTGGACAATAATAGATCAATCCACAGCAAAGGAGAAATTTCTAATTGTCATTGTTAGTATAAAACACTTAGTTAAATTGTTAATACAAAACTGAAGCAGTCAAAATAATAATCAGTGTGAGAAGGAAACTACCTGCTGATTTTCTTGGCAATGGAATTGTGTTTACATTTGTAAAACAATTGGGTTTTTTAAGACATCAAATAGCTACTTGGACAGAAAAACATAATCTAGGATGTTGCTGACTTTTCAGAAAGGTTTTGAAACACACAGTGAGCTAACTTGAAAATACCAGTTTGTCTGCTACTGCTCAAACACAAGGTCTGGTACTGCCTTAAAGCTATCAGATGTTGCATTAAGAAGCAACATTTGTTCTTTCTTCTTTGTCCTTCAAAAAAGGAATTGGATTCCTATTAACATCCTTATTGATATCTAATTGTATTCCACTAAAACTACACCTGGAAACTTGCTTTGTTGTGATGCCAGTGCATCCAGGCCAGCTGGGTAGCTGTGACAGCTGCTATTGCTTTGTATTTTCTCATGTGCTCATCAGACTTGTTCTTTAGTCTGTTTTACACAGTAACCTTCCTAGGTTATGACTATGCTTCTTTGCTTGCACTTTCACCTGTCAGTAACACAGAATTCAAAAAGCACAAAAGTGAGAAATTCTAACATCGCTTAATTAAAACAATAAAATAATTCACTGCAAGTTTGCCAATTAACATTTCAGATTTAAAAGGATCGATTTTAATTTGACACAGAAATTTGACAAGGAGCTTTTGATTAGCACAGAGACATTTATGATTCACAGCTAATACAAAGATTTTTTTTTTAAATTGCAAAGTTAATTAAATGTTACCTGGGATAATATAAGTTTTTTGTTCCCTGTGATACACATTCTTACATATTATCCCAATGATGCATGTTTATGCGTCCGTGTCCAGTGGAAGAAGACATTCTTTCATCCTCTTTAAAATATCTGTCTCCTGGTTCAAAGCATTTCTTTATTTTTGAGGCAGCTAATTTATTCTTCCCTACCTCTCAGTCCTTCTCTAGTTCTCTGTGGTTTTCTTGTTTGCTAAATATTTTACAGTGCTCTCTCCAGCTTGGCTTGCATCTTTGACACCTTTATGTGGCTTAGTCTTCCCTTAGGAATCCTAGGAATTAATCACTGAATGTGCTGTCAGGGTAAACAATTACTGCTCACAATTAAACAATCCTTACACACACTGAGAAAAATTCATTCTTGTGCTCTTCATAAATACACTGGTTAAACACATCTTAAGCATTTTTCAGTATTTAATGTAACACATATGTCTACAGACTGTTAAGAAGATAAGATTTTAGGTTTTTACAGATATTGGTAAGATCCCCCTGAGCCTTCCTTTCTCCAGGCTGGACTGTCCAAGATCTCTCAGCCTTTCCTCAAAGGAGAGATGCTCCAAACCCTTCATCATCTTTCTGGCCCTTCATAGGCCCTTCTCTCCAGTATGTCCAAGTCCTTTGTACTGGAAAGCCCAGAACTGGGCACAGGCCTTCAAATGTGGCCTCAACAGTGCTGAGAAGAGGGAAAGGATCACCTCCCTCCAGCTGTTGGCAGTGCTTTGCCTAGTGCAGCCCAGGACACCAGTGGCCTTTGTGATAAGGGCCCATTTGCTGGCCCATGTTCAACCTGGTGTCCACTATGACCCCTAGGTCTTTTTCTGCAAGGTTGCTTCCCAGCTGGGTGATCCCCAGTATATATGTTCTTTAATTGAAAGTCTACATTTCTCAGCTCTTCTGAGAATTCAGTAAGAACATGCAGATAAATTTTAAAACTTAATCCTGGAGTGAACACATGTATACAGAATACTTTGCCATCAAAGATCAAAAGCATCAGTTTTTTGTGTAATGGGATTTAACATAGCGCAGAAAGGTTTTTGTTCACTGTGGTAGCAATATTATTTAATATTAGAAGCTCAATTAGCTGCTTAATTTATATTAGCTGCTTTCCAGCTGGGCAGCCCCCAACATATACCGGCACCTAGGGTTGCTCCTTCCCAAGTGAAGGACTTTGTACTTCCCCTTGCTGAGGTTCCTGTCAGCCCATATCTCCAGCCTGGTGAGGTCCCTCTGAATGGCAGCAGGACCCTTTTGTGTTATCAGCTCCTGGTTTTGTGCAATACTCAAACATACTGCCCCATGATCCAGATCATTCATGGTGATGCAAAACAGGACTGGACTCTATATCAACCCCAGAGATACAATGATAGTCACTGGCTTCCAACAAGACTTTGTGCTGCTGGTGACTACACCCAGACCCTGGCCATTCAATCAGATTTTAAGCCACCTCATTGTCTTACTCATCAGCCCATGCATCAAAAATTTATCTAGGAGGATCTCAGTGTTAAAGTCTTCCAGGAGTCCAGATAAACAGTGTCCATTGCTCTCTTCCCATATACAAGCCATGATCCCTGGCATTATCTCCTGTTCTCTCTATTTTCACAAGTTTGTTCCTCCCTGACCTAGTGGCATCCTTTCTGTTCTCTGCATTTGGCCCTTCTCAGAAACATCTTGTGCCAACTGTATCTCCAGTCCTCAATATCCCAGCCTTGCTCTTTCCCATGAGAATGCCAACAATCTTGCTTTGCTGCTTATCAGTTATGGGTACTGGTTGAGCCTCTCCGTGGATACATCTAAGAGGCTCTTTTAGTGGCTCATCAGTCAATAACTTGAGAACTTGGGTCTTTGACATTGCTTCTGTCATCTCAACTTCATTAAAGTTTATGTATCTAGCTGTTTAATATCATGCTTTTCTTGCCTCTTGTCCTAGTGTGTTAAGGATAGACCAGGTAGCTTTACATTTCACCTACCGTTACAGCTCATGCAAGTGCAGTGTATTTTCCCAGAAAGCATCTGGGACTATGTCCTGGTTTGAGCCAGGATGAAGCCAATTTTTCTTTTACTGATTTTTTTTTTCTTTTTTTCCCCCTTCAGTAAGCCTTCTTTTAACTAGCAGAAGAGTGTTCCAGCTAGGAATGGTAACAAACGGTGGAATGTTTTTCTAACTGCTGGGTCTTCAAGGTCACACCTTTACTCTGCCAGCTCAGAGAGAGGCTACACTACAGGGAGATCTGTGACCCCCCTTTAGGAGGCTGAATGAGACAGACAGCAAAACTGGCCAGAGATATTCCATTCCATATATCTACATAAGCTCAGAGGAAGATCAGAGATCACAGAAGACAACTTCCTTCTTCTTCTTCCATCCATGGCCAGCATCCAAGGAAGACTCCATCCATCCATCATTGTCAACCCCCAGGCTTGAGCTCTCCTGACCCTCAGCACTCTGCTTTCTCCGGCAGCTCTGGAATTCTTCAGGACTGTTTGTGGCTAGGGAGAGTGCTGTGGGAATTGTTGGAGGTGGAGGGAGGCAAAAGGTTTTTGCATATATCTGTACATATTTGTATAAAATTGTACATATTTTCTTATATCATTAGTGTCTAATTAAAGCTGTGTAGTTTAGTTTTCAATCCAGCAAAGTCTCTTTTTCCTCTCTGGATGGGAGGGAGAAGGGATAGAGAGAAATGTTGTCGAACCTGAGTCAAATAGTGACAGAGTAATAGCCCAAGCAATGTTTTTCTGTTTCCTTTTGCATGGGTTTCTCTCCTTCATTCACTGCAGTGGTGTCTAGAGAGAGTAGGCTTCTTAAATATAGCTTTTAAGAATATTACCTTTCTTTTCAGTGAAAGTCAATGGCACATATGTACCTCAACTGGGTTTAGAAGTTGGACTAAGATCAGCCCCAGGCTATTTATAATCATTTTACCTTTCAAAAACCTGAAGGATCCATTTTATATGTGTACAAAATGTCAATAGCATACAGATGCAATATATATAGCAATTTATCATTGTTATTTTTATTAAATAGATACATATACTGGCAGTATAAGGAGGTTAGCCTCTTTGAATAAACTGGAAAAGGTACTGCGTAGACTTTTAGTGACTGAGGATAATACTAAACAGATAGGAAGGCAAACATTAAATAAATTAGACAAAATAGCTGGCAGATAATAATTGCTTTTTGTACTCTACATACAACAGAAAAGTCTCAGCATTAACAATAGATCTCAAAATGCTACTCAACATGATTTTTGAAGGAGAATGGAGGTCTGGAGTTCCAAATAAGGACTCACAGTCAAAATATTTGAGCCAATAGTTTTCAATCCAGCAAAGTCTCTTTTTCCTCTCTGGATGGGAGGGAGAAGGGATAGAGAGAAATGTTGTCGAACCTGAGTCAAATAGTGACAGAGTAATAGCCCAAGCAATGTTTTTCTGTTTCCTTTTGCATGGGTTTCTCTCCTTCATTCACTGCAGTGGTGTCTAGAGAGAGTAGGCTTCTTAAATATAGCTTTTAAGAATATTACCTTTCTTTTCAGTGAAAGTCAATGGCACATATGTACCTCAACTGGGTTTAGAAGTTGGACTAAGATCAGCCCCAGGCTATTTATAATCATTTTACCTTTCAAAAACCTGAAGGATCCATTTTATATGTGTACAAAATGTCAATAGCATACAGATGCAATATATATAGCAATTTATCATTGTTATTTTTATTAAATAGATACATATACTGGCAGTATAAGGAGGTTAGCCTCTTTGAATAAACTGGAAAAGGTACTGCGTAGACTTTTAGTGACTGAGGATAATACTAAACAGATAGGAAGGCAAACATTAAATAAATTAGACAAAATAGCTGGCAGATAATAATTGCTTTTTGTACTCTACATACAACAGAAAAGTCTCAGCATTAACAATAGATCTCAAAATGCTACTCAACATGATTTTTGAAGGAGAATGGAGGTCTGGAGTTCCAAATAAGGACTCACAGTCAAAATATTTGAGCCAATGGACAATTAATATCATAATGCAACCCAACAAGATGCCCGAGAACATCGTCCCACCCAGCAATGGGTAGTAGCATGCTTCTTTGTAAACTAGTCAATAGCTTATTACCACTCATAAGAATTTACCAGAGTACAGTGCCTAGTCTTTTCATAATGTAATTGGGAAGAATTTCTAGTAGGAATTAAAAAGAAGAAACACATTATGTGATAATTATAAAGACAGTGCCAACATGTTTTCTTATTATTAATAGCAACAACAACTCTAAAGAGAAAATTATATCAGCAAGCAACACTATTATAAATTCACACACAGGATTCCAGTAAAATGTATAAAGGCATTAGAGCCATCAATGTAGGAAACAAATCATCTACAAGCATTGGCACTGTAACAGATGTAATGGGATTACAGTTGGAACCAGCACTGAAACACCATGACAGACATACTTAGTCCCTCTATGTACATGGAGTGGATAAGCAATGAGAACATAAAATACAGCAGAGAAAATCAGCACAATTGATTTTTAGAAGTCACTACAAAGGACTTTTCTAAGGCAATCATGGACAACGATAAGAAAAGACTTGTCTTGTCTTAAATAGTTATGGCCTCATTGTTGATCCATTTCAAAAAGTAGTCATTTATGGACATGGAATACAGCAGGATTTTTAAGTAAGGAAGATTCTTTATTCAACTAAGGTTGTCTAAAATGTAGCTACTTTTACAAAAGAATTTATAATAGTTCTTTTTGGTACAGTAATTTAGTGCTGTCGTATTAGTACATTTTAAAGTATGAATAGCACCAAACAGGAAGATTTATTCTAAGTCATGTAGTTGTTATATAGAACTTTACTGTAAATACAGTTAGTGTGACTGTTTTGAAGCCTGAGGTTATAGCTTTCATTTCAAAAACCTCTCTATAAAGAAGAGATATTGAATCAATAAACTTTATCATTTCAAGGGAATTTGCATTCTGTGGGGTTTATATTACCATATATGGTTTTGTATTACGAAGTGAATGACAATGAATGCCAGTCATGATAACAGAGAAAATATCTTTGCTTACTTGAAATTTTGTTTACTTTGAAATAATACAGTCCATAGAACTGCTATTCTGGGAGGTTTCAGCCAATGTAGCACAGAGTCAGACAAAATCTGTCAGTCACCAGTAGGAAGAGCATCATTTGGGATACACTTCCAGGCACGAGTCTTTTAGAGCTGAAATACTTCCACCCAGTTTTGATGGAAAATTGCTTGAGGGAAAAAGGCTAAGGTACATACTAATGAAGCATAGGTGAAATTCAAGTTTTCAATAAGATACTGAAATATTTTTATCTCCATACCCATATTTTATTTGTCTCCAAAGCAGATTGGGTTTGTGGACTTTATAGTTAAAAAGTCAATTTCATGTTATTCTATTTTAATTGTCTTCAGACTTGAGTCCACAGATCTCTGCACACACTGGCCACCCAGGGCACCATTCTGACACTTTGACAGCCTAATTAGCAAGAAAGACCCATTTTTATGTTACATTCCTCTTGCATGTATGTAATTTAGAATTTATGTTGTCTTCTAAAAAGACAAAGATTTCTGTTTTGAGACCTTTGAATGTTTACATAGCCCATAAATAAATTTCAGAAGTGTCACCATTGCTGTGTGTATCCAGATTTCAAAATTTTTCCATCTTAACTCAAAGGTCAAGCAATACTTTAAATTACTAATTTAGCTTGTGTCAGGCATACAGAGACTTCCCAGGCATACTTTAAAATTTTATTATTGTCTGAAGGAAGTTTGCAATTTTGACAGTTACTACTTTAATATTTGATTCTTAAACCCTATTTAGCTGCCAGCCCCCCTAACTGACAGAGGAATACCATAAAGGCACATCAGGAAAGATCAGAGTATATTTTTGGCTTGGTCTTTTTTGCACTGATTTCACACCCCTTCCATATAAATGAGCAGAGCTAGGTCCCGAGGATTGTCTCCCAACTACATTCCATGAGGCTGAACAACAAAAACATCAACAATATATTATTTGTTCACATTTTTATAATCTCCTCCAGAGTGAACTTGAGCAGAGAAATGGCTCTAAAATTATTTTAGAACATCTGGCCCTCTCATTGTTCCCAAAGCTGAACTTTTTGCCTTCCTTCTTCCAATTTAACACCAACAGGCTCTCTCAAAGGAGGAAGGAGCTTCCCAAAACCTCTGATCCTTGTTGCAGTATGGGATCAGTGTGGATCAGATATTTCTATGCTTCTGCTTTTAGCTGTCTGTACAGAATATAAATTGAGTTTCTGAAAGTTATTGCAAGTGACAGCTGGAAAGGGCTTTTTCTTTCCAAAGTCTTTTGAGAATGGTGGATTTCTCCATTCTACATTGTCTTCTATGAGTGACCTTCTGGAAAGCAGAAAGTTAGTGAGAAAAACTTTGTGGGCTTGTGTCCCAGGCAGCAGAAGCAAGGAAGTTAATCCATTTCTTGTGCTGTTTAATGAGATTTACATTTACCCAACTTTTTGTGATCTCTGTTACTTCTTCAAAGGAAAAAGCTAAAAGACTTCTGAAAATTA